TTCAGTTTCACTGTGCTTTTAGAATCAAGTCAAATAACCCAGCCAGAACACTGCCTAGGTGGCATTACATGTTTCTCAAGGTAATGTATCTGGGGGAACACCACATTCTTAGTGTGGAGGATGCTAATTTTGACCACTAGTCAGAGTACTGTCTGGTGTTCTACTGTGCATTACAATTTTCCCTCTTGAAATTAATAAACCAACTATAAGAAGACATTTCACATATGGCGCTGGGGTGTAGAGTGCTTCTTGGTATTCAAGAGGTCCTGGGTTTGATCCCCAGCACCACCTAAAATAATAAATAATAAAAATTAACTGTGTACTGATCCTATTCCTAATCAAACTTTCCCTCTTAGAATTACCATTTATCGATGATTCTTGCCCAAGCCAATTTTTACTATGAAAGTTTCACAATAGTTCATTTCCAACTTTAACAACTCCCTCCACATTTATCTACTGGCATTCTCCCCTCCCCTCTATTAATTTACTTAATTATGTGTGTATTGCCAGCGTGGACTCATGGATTCCTACCCTTTTAGTATGATTTTAAGGGCTCCAATTTTCTTTTCTCTTTCTTTCTTTCTTTCTTTCTTTTTTTCGGGGGCTGGTAACGGGAATCAAAGTCAGGAACTTGCTCTTGCGAGGCAGGTGGAGGCACCACTGAGCTAAATCCCCAGCCCCCTATTTTCAATGGTTTGCATTTCATTCCTATCCTAAATTACTTTGGTACTTATGCTGTCCCAGATTCAGCCAGCCCAAAGCCCTTCAAGATGGCTCCTGTGTATCCTTTGACAAATTGTCATCGTTAAGCATGCCGTAGCTCTGATAGTCATCTTTTAATTCTTCCTGCCTCAACCTTGGGACAAAATCTGCAGTGAATCGAAGGAGTCTTGTCCCTTTTAGTGAGAAAGATATTGGGAGATCCAGGCATCTGCTGCTCATCATTATTGGGGTGACTTTACTTCTAGACTCACTTGTGTATGGTTCCTCCATCTCAGAGCATTGCTGTTGGAGATGTTGACACAGTTGTTGACACAGCCTTCTTTTCTAAAAGTATTGAGTTAAGCAACAGCTCCCAGAGGTAAAGATTTGGTCACTGGTAATAATGAAGTTATTAAAATAATTAAAAATGGTCACAAATTATTTGCAGTTGGATTGATTATGAAGTAAGAGTTTAACCACTTCTTGAATCTGAGTTAGCCTGATGACTTGTGTTTGTTTGTTTTTCCAGTTCTGGAGTTTGAACCTAGAGCCTTCACATTGAGCTACATCCCCAGTCCCCTCTCTCAGGTTGTATGTGTATGTGTCTTTGTTGTTGTTTGACTTTTGCAACAGGATCTCATTATGTAGTTCAGGCTGGCCTTGAACTCATTATGGAGCCCAGGCTAACCACAAACTCACAGCAATCCTCCCGCCTCTGCCTCCCAAGTGCTGGGATTACAGGTGTATCTCACCATGCCTGACTCACACTTCGATTCTTAAAGCATAGCTTTGGGTGTGTCTGGGTAGGTCAAAGTCCCTTCTCAGGCCTTTCTCTACTTTCTGCTTCCTTAACATCATGTCATGAGTCAACAGTTTCATTTCACATTGGCCTTCACTCTGCCTTGAAGCCGGCCAGTCAAGTACTGAAACTTGATGCTGAGACAAACAAACCTTTGCTTCCTTAAACTTCTTTAAACTTTAGATATTTTGTCCTACCAACACAAAGCAAATACATATAATTATGTTTTATAATTTGTACTGCATATTTATCATCTATAACTAAGAAACATACAGATTATACAGAAGTATACAGACTGTAAGTATATAATTTGGTGTGTTTTTACAAACTAAACACATGCTATCAGCGAAGTAGGTTGTAAATATTTCATCATAGTTTGTCATTTCTCTCTCCAGTTTTGTTTATGGTAATCTCTTCACTCAAGTACTTTTTGTTTATGTGTTTGTTTTGTAGCACTGTGTGTTGAACCTAAGGGTGCTCTACCACTGAACTACATCCCCAACCTTTGCTACTTTTTATTTTGAGGCAGGTTCTCACTAACTTGTCCAGGCTAACCTTGTAAGACTTAAGTCTCACTTTTACTCCTGGAGCATGAACAGCCAAGAGGCTTCCACGATGCTGGGCTCAGAAGCTCAGCGAGGCTCCAGGAGCTTGTCGGACAGCGAGAGTCACCCAGGAAGGAACACACCAGGCAAGTTGGCAAATAGACCTTTATTAGTCTGGCCAGACGGCACTCCCCAAGCCAAGTAGCTCAGAGAGGCGGCTAGCTCAGAAACAGAGGCCATTTTATATAGGGCTGAGGTGGGGGGGTTACACTTAAAATTTACAGGAAGAGGACAAAGGCAAAGAATCAGTTGATCTGAGCTAGTGGTCATCAAGCATATACTTGACCGTCACGTACTAACGATCAGCAGATCGATTATCCATTATTCCATTTACAACTTAGATTATAATGTTCAGAACATTCAACTACAGGCAAGTAAGGAGTGGAGTGATTTGTGTTGGGTCTCTGTGTTCACTACAGTTGCCATTTAGTTTCCCAGCTACTTCAAAGCAGTTACCTAACAATTCACAATAATCATTAGTTATCCTATAAGGGATGGGGGGAGCGACAGTCTCTAGGTCGTTTGCTGGTCAACATGGAGTCGCTCTGGTTCAGTCAGGCTCTTTCAACCTTAAACTTGTAATCCTTCTAGCTCAACCCCTGGAGTACGTGGGATTACAGTGTTGCAGCAAGAGTAAGAAAAGGAACTTTAAGAGACTCGAGTTGGGTAAAAAAAAAAAAAAGTTATTGCTAATAAACAAGTCCTTCAGGTCTGACTATGAGCTCAGATCTGAACAAACTTTTATAAAAGGTTTACAAGGGAAGTGGGGATTATCTGACAAGAAGCGTTACATTGGGGCTTTTCATTCTGCTGGTGGCTTTTGTTAAGCAGTGGTTTGGAAAGTACATATCATCTTTTTCTTCCTCATTGAGTTTATCGGTACATTTTAGGTATACAGTACAGTTACATTTATTATTGGGATCTTGTACCTTTACATGACAGATCTTGGTTCTCATTTTTTCCCTTACCCCTGCCCTCCCTTCACCCCCTCCCCTCCTCCCCCTTTACAAACACTTCATTTCCATTTTTTCATATTTTTTTCTTTTCCCTTATTTCCTTTCCCCTGCCCTTCCCACTTTCCCTACACCTTTAGCCCCTTTCTTCCTATTTCACATTGTCAATTAAGTACATATCATCTCAAACACAGCATGTCTTAACATTTCTTGAGAATATTGTGTCTTAGCTTAGGAATTACAATTTTAGCTTTACAAATTATAATTTTTCTTCAACAATAGGACTGAGCCATCATCCCTGGCTATTTCTTTTTTGTTTTATTTTGTGGTACTGGGGATCAAACCCAGGGCTTCATGCACGTTTGGCAAGCCCTTTAGGTTGAGCTATGTCCCAGCCCCACTTAAGTGCTTCTATATAAGAAAATGTGTTGCTGTTTCCCTTTGTATTTTGCTTAGAAATCCACTCCAAGATTGTCTATAAAATAAAACTAAACCAAAACTCCTCGAATTTCTTTTACCACTTTATGATTTTTTAATACTAAAACATTTTGTAAGTTTACAATTTAATTTTAGGTTAGGAGGGTGTAATTTACCTTTCTCTCCCAGCTGAGTAATCATTAATTTATACACAATTCACTTAATAATCCATCCTGCCCTCCATAAGCATATTTTCATCATTTTTAATTTTCCCCCATTAAACCCTGATACACCTTTTCTGAGAACACGAAACCAGAGGACTTTGTTCGAGGCAGGCTATCTCTCCATGGCCTAAGACTTGAAGCAGAGCTATGGCCAGCATGACCATTCTTTGGGCCCCTGTGCTGATACTGCAACTAAGAGCAGTTACAGGAAAAAAATAAGGCTCTAGAGTCTCCGGGTACTAAACTCCTGCGATTAGATAATATGAGGAGTCGAGCGCGGCGGGGAGTGGAGGTAATGACTGTGAATCGGTCTTGATTAGCCAGGCCTTATTTCCTTCCGTCGCCGGGAGGACCCAAGCTTTCCCTGAGTTCTGCTCACTGCAGGGATGGGGTTGTAGAGCGCCCAGCCCACCTCCCTCCCACTCCCTATTGCCCATCTTTGCACCGAGCAAATAGGAAACAGAATGGGTGGGATAGGCGCTGGCCATTGAAATGCCTAGGCTTGGGGGCAAAGGGCTGCGGGACCCTTAGGGAGGAACTTCCCGCATAGGCTCCGCGCCGGGGCAATTTCCTCTGCTCCCACCAGGAGGCGCCGCGGCGCTCGTTGCCGGAGCGGAGCCCGAGCTTCAGCTGCAACCAACCCCGGGTCTGAGCCACTCGGCTGTGCGGTGCGAAAGCCGGGCGACAGCTGAGCCCTCCGGCCCTGCAAGTGGGACACGGGACCAGATAGTGTTCCTGGGCTGGAGTGCAGCGGACTCTCAACTCCGCGTTCGCCCCAGCAGGAAGTGTCCAGCGCGATCCCCGCGCCTCGGTCCACAAAGACCCGGGAGCGCGGAGGGAGGGGCGGGCGCTCTCCGGAGGCAGAAGGAATCCCGCGTCCCCCGGCTT